TTAAGACTTAAATCTTAAAATAGTCTTGTAACGTCCCGGCAAAATTTATAATTAATAAATTGGACCCCGTCGACTCTGCCAGGGTAACCTGAGATGCAACGTTGACGATTTCGACGTTGTACTTTATTATAATTCTGCGGTTAGTCAGTCCAGGGCGAGTCCCGAAGGTGTAAGGACTGACTCCGCCATTAATTGTCTTTTTAATTACCAATAAATTTAAGTTTTACTTTCATTTCGACTAATGTTAAAAATTTATTTAAACAACCAATAGGGGTAGTGTGCGCTTATTGGCGTACACCTCCCCTATTTTTACACCAACCTGATAAGCTGAAAATTCAGCTTATTAAGAAAAACCAATCGGTATCCTTCACTAGTGGCCAATGACAGGCCCACCTGGGGTCTATCGACTACCTAATGAGGCCAAGCCTGAAGAAAAATATAAAATTTCTGAAAAACGTTTAACTGAAAATATCAGAACGTTACAGTCTTAAAAAAATCTTAAAATCGTCTTGAAAAAATCTTAAAATAGTCTTAAAATAATTATTAAAAAATTTTTAGGCTATTTTAAGGTGATATCACAGTGACAGCTCCAGAAAATTATTATGAAGCGTCTTTAAATTGTCTTAAAATTATCTTGAATTAGTCTTAAAAAAATCTTAAAAAAAAATTTAGACTATTTTAAGATGGGCTAACGGCGACAGAGTCCCGGAACATTAAAACGGAACGTCTTAAAAAAGTCTTAAAATTGTCAGATGATAATTTTAAATTCAATTTAAAAACATCTTACTCAAAAATATTGCGGTTAGAAAGTCGTAAAATCGTCTAAAAAATGTCTAAAAATTAATTTTCACAACAAATTCGAGAACCAAATTTTCAAAAATCTGCTCTCGGAATTTTTTTTTTTTGGCGTCTTAAAAGAGTCTTAAAATAGTTTTGGTTTGTGTCACGTTTAAGATTTTAAACGAACGACAATTTTAAGACCATTTTTTTTTTTACACGGGAGATATTTAATAATTTACTCAATTACACAAGTTACGAAAAAATAATTGGAATTGTCTATTCAAAGTAATACAATTATATGCAATGATTTTATAGAATTCAAAATGAATAAATAAATCATTAAAAACGAATAATAAAAAAATATGAACTTATACATATTTTTATTTTCTAATTGTGATTTGCTTTATTTTTAAATTATTATTTAATTTAGAAATTAATAATTTTTACTAGATTTATTATTTACATCGCTATACAGAACTTTGATAAAAAAAAAAACAACATGGCGCGTAACCGAAAATCGTGACGATTTTTTTTACATTGCTATAAAATTTTTCTCATACGTCAAAAAAGAAGTTTCACTTAAAAAAAAAAAAATAAATGAGACTTACTGTCATATTTAGCAGAGCACTCAACACCCTTGAGTGTAGCATTCCGAGCTTCTTGACAAATTCCTGATCGGCACTCGTAGGCTGTGGAGAGACACTCGGATGAATCAGTACAGTTAGCTCCCTTGTAACCATAGCACTTGTTGTCACGTTGATGATATTTTTCCTTGAAGAAATTAAAAGATTAGTAAATCAAAAATGTACAATTTTATTAAATTTAAGCACGTGTTATTTTTTCTTATTCAATAAAAAGACTTACTTGTAACTTTTCCGTACAACAAGTGATGTTCGATGCAGTTGAACATCTGATGTAAGCAAAACAAAGAAGACCGAGTAAGAAAAATGACTTCATTTTAATTACTTTGAATAGAATACATTTTTTTTTAATTATAATTATAAGTCACGTCAGATCAACAATGAAGTAACGATATAATTTTGTCGATATTTATACTTTAGGAGTTTTGGGACCAAGCCATAGATAGGGCTATTATACTTTTATCTATACAGGTCACAATGTGACGTTTATAAAGAAGAAATCATGAATATTGATGATAAAGTTAATGAGAGTCAGCGTTGAAAACATAATTAACAACTTTAATAGTATATTTTTTTATTAAGGACAGTAATTAATAAATTAGAGCAAGTTGATGCAAATATCTTCAATATCAATGTCACAATAAATAATTATGTTAATCACTCCATTAAACACAATGGTAAAAGTAACAATTTATTTATAGAAAAGAAGGGCTCCACTTATTTTTGACCATCATGAATTAAATATTTAATTTTTTTTCCACTTGGCAGCGGAAAAATTTTGATTTTTTAACACGCTAAAAAATTAGTAAAAAATTTTAATAAATATAAATTAATAATAGTGTAAATAAGAAAAAACAATGTTTTTAATTTTTAAAAAAGCGTGGGGTGCTTTTTAAGATATTATCGAAATCATAATCATTCTACTCATATCTGTCGATAAAATATTCATAACTATTGACACCATGTACCTCACGCTTTTTTACACGCTTTTTATAAGCTTCACCTGAATGTTTGTAACCGACTCTTTTAGGTACGATTTTGACCCACTTTAAACGGCCAGATTTCGTTCACACTGTAGATATTTTGAGGACCGATGACAATACACTACTTTGATAAGATTATTCCATTTTTCAATTTGCAAAATAAGATTTTTGTTAATTTATATCATTTTTATATATAATTGATAAGGCAGGAATTGATGTTAATTTTAATTTCCAACCATTATCTTTAGCCGATTTATCTAATATTAACAAATTTTCGAATACCAAAGAGAATTTTAATTCAACGAACCAAATAATAGTTTAAAAAAACTAAAAAAACACGCTTTTTATAGAAAACCAAACTAAAAAATAGAAAATAAATTTTAATAAATATAAATTCATAATAGTGTAAATAAGAAAAAAATGTATTTGATTTAAAAAAAAAAGCCATTCGGCAGCCGAAATGGAAGTAGATTTCATAATGAACAAATAGAATACTACTGGGGTAACAAACAAAAAAAATAAATTTCTGTTACATTAAATAATAATGACGTCAAAACGAATGCAAAAGTAAATTTTCATTAAATCTGTCTGAAAAAGGAAGTAATTTTTGGCCTAGACTGATAATGAGGTACATAATTTGAAGCTTATTTAATAAGCTTTCAGATGCTCTTTATAGAATTTTGATAAGATATCGCGTTCAATTGTAATTGTACGGAAATGCGGAAAAAGTGAAAATTTTTGCGATTTTTGAAAATTTTTGAATTGCTATTATTCCTATACTATTCGATTTGGAAAAATAAATAAGTATACAAATTGAAGCTTATTAAATAAGCTTTCAAATGCACTTTACAGAAATCCGATAGGATGTCGCGTTCCATTGTTATTACACGGAAATAAGGTAAAAGCGAAAATTTTTATCAATTTTTGAAAATTTTCGAATTGCTCTGATTTCTAAACTAATCGGCAGATTAGGCTCATCTTAGAACTTAACCTCGGAAATAGTCCTAAAAATAAGTATGTTACGTTTTAAGCAAAATTTTTCAAAAGTTCCGTCATGAGGACCAATGCAATAATTAGATTTCTATGAAATCTACTAAAAAGCGTGGGGTGCTTTTTAAGACTTATCGAAATGATAATCCTTCTCATATCTATCAATAAAATATTTATAACTATTTACACCATGAACCCCACGCTTTTTTTATAATCAAATACATTTTTTTCTTACTTACACTATTATTAATTTATATTTATTAAAATTTATTTTCTATTTTTTAGTTTGATTTTCTATAAAAAACGTGTTTTTGAGGTTTTTAAACTATTATTTATTTACGTTTTTATAGCGAAAATCTTTATGACTTTAAATGTTTCTACAACTATCATGATTATGATTATTGATTAATAATTTCCGCGCCGAGTAAAACAAATTGAAAAATATAAGTTTTGACGTTTATCTATATCTTAATTTCCAATTTTTTATGGTCAAACGACATTGGAACTTATCTTTTATACAATTAGCCTACATTTATTACATTTTTATTAAATTCCACTCATTTTATAACATTTATGTTGCGATCTAAAATTAAAAAACTTAAATTAAATTTTGTAATACATTACATATTAAGCTTATTTGCGAATCTCATAAAATTTAAAAAAGTTTAATAAAATTCAATCAAATATTTATGTATATAACAGCAACCGGCAACAATATTTTGTGAACTCCAGTGTTGATCGATTGATGACTTCAAACAATTTTCCAGTGCAAGTTCTTGAAAAATTCAACTTTCAATAAAAAGCAATGCACCACACTTGAAGGGTCCATGTTGACATTTGAGCAAAAATTTGTCAAAATTTACACTGAAAGAGAAATGATCAATTACTATTTATGATTAATTAATATCCGTGAAAAAATTTTCTGACATGGTCTGATATGGATTTATATGAAAATAAGTCATATCCGGCCGCATCACACTGTTAGAGACAAAAATCGCTAATTATACGCTCTTTTGGATAATGCAGAATGAAAATGAAGGGCGTGCATAAAAAAGTTTATTTCCATTTTCTAATTTTCCACTTCAGAAATTGAACGTTTTCAACTTCTGGCTATACAAATTAAAAAATTTTCAGACAATGAAGAAAATTATTGAACCCAATTAAATTTTTAAAACTTAAGCTTCCATCAAATCCCGACCTTTTGACGTCCTATAAGTCTATTTCAAAAAATTTTTAATTTTCATCGTCAGAAATTCAAAAATTATCTTTCTTACAAAACAGTGGAAGAAAGTTGAAAAATGAAAATAAATGTTTTTTTTTTTGGTTAAGATTTTTTCTCTCAAAACAAAAAGGGCGTATAAAAAAATGTAATTTCTATTATTTCAGTAAATTTTTACGTTCCCAACATTCCTCAGTCGAAAAGAAAGAAATAATTTCGTCATTGTCTAACAACATGTTAATTTAAGTTCAAATTATTATAAATTATAAAATGATAATAAATAATTTTTTCATTTAAGCCATATTTGACTATATTCGAAAATTCTCTCACGAGTAGCATTATTTGACTGTATCAATCTTAAAATAAACTAAAAAAATTACTTACAAATTACAGAAAAGTAACATCCAAAGATTGTAAGTCCCCGTCACCTTCTAAACGTTCTTGCGCTTGATTCCTCAAACCCTCTTCCATCTTAGAAAATAAAATCCCAACAGTATACCATTTCATAAAAGAAACAAAAATTACTAATTAGCACATAATCAAATTTGACTTCCAACACAATTAATAAATATTATTTACCTTAGCTCCATCAGCTAATGCTAGCAGACTAAAATCTGTAATCAGCCATAATTTGTACCTCGTCCATTTTTCCTGAAAAACAAAATCGCTTTCAATCCATTGTCCAAAAATAATATCATCAAGATCAAATTTAATTACCGCTATTTTGGCTAGAGAATAATAGATTATCAATACAAGAAGCACGAGAATCACCGTAGCATACCACAGTCCATACATAAAAAGCTCCATTGGCTGGAGAGTCGCATTTCCTTTCCACATCTGGTTGATATCATACCCGACAACAGCAGCTATGCCAGTCATATTGATAATAGCGATTCCCAGTTGTGGTGAAAAGAACCAGAGTACGTCTAAACGTATATCATCTAGGTCTTCTAGAATGTTACTGACAAACAAAATTCTCCGTTGGCGTGATGCGTTGTTGATCCTCTGTTTTCTTTTTTGTAGGGACTTTAAGTTAGCAACATCGTCGTTATCGACCTTGACAATCGCGTAGTGGAGCTGTATGAAGCGTTTAATGACAACATCCAGCGACATGACATATTGAAGCACTAAAAAGTTTGAAAAGAGACACGGATAGACAGTCATGAAAAATTGGAAAAATGGTTTGCCATCCAATTCAATGTACTTTGCTACTGACACACCGGCACAAACTACCAAGTTGGCAATCATCACACAATAGGCACTGCAGCCGTTTTTCACTTTGCGACCCGTAATTTTCATCAGCCTATCATCAATTTCTTGCACTTCGTTCAAAGGGTTTATCAATGTGCTCTGTCTGCACCCATAGATGATCATGGTGATGCCCACTATTCCCAATGAAGCGCACTGCAATAATTTCTGTTCCCGTACTATCATTACTCCAATCTTCTTCGGCAGTACTTTCGGATAATAAACCATGTAACAGTAATCTACATAGGCTAAGCCAAGGCTGTAGAGTACGCTCCAATAGGTTCCTAGAAGTGATGTGGAAAATCCGTAATTGTAATAGTAAAGAGCAGGGTTCCATTTAAATAGCTTCATGTAATTAAAGTGCCATGGAAGCAATCCTATAGATTTGAACAAGATGAAGTACAGTAACCCTAAAATTCCAATGCTCATATTTGATAAACTTTTAGTCAATGCATTTCGATTGACGAAACCTTGCGCCATTCTGAATTGTTTTTAGAGGACGGTAAAAAGCTAGGTGTTTTTATTGTCACTGAGCAATGAAGACTGACAACTAGTGAAGTTTAGTGCGAAAATATCGATTTCAACATGGTATTGCGTGAGTGTTGGATAAATTTTTGTAATTTACTTAGCTTCGTAATGGAAAATGTTACACGTTAGTGCACAAAGTTATGTGTGGTGGTACATTGATGTGCAGGAATGAATTTGTGGTGGATTTTATGACTGCTTATGAAGGTTGAATACATATTTACATTTTTTTTTATGTTCGCAAGGCATATTATAAGGCAAGAATTTTATTGACATGTGTGGTAAAAAATCGATTATGATGCTACTGTCTGTTTAATTTATCCTATATTAATTGGAATTTTAGCGTTATGAAATTTTATAAAAATACAGTACTTACACTCATGAAAACGATTTTGCCAAAAAACAAATGACAGGATAATTTAAAATATGTTATTACTTCACAAAATAAATCTCTTCTACTAACAAAATCATTTTTTTAGGACAACAAAATAATTTTCTTACCGATACTCTAACTGCCGTGAGAACCGAGCGGTTAAGGCGTCGAGATATTGGCATCTCAGGGGAGGCGGTAGTGGTAATTAGTGGTATAATCAGTGGTAATTATTAGCAAACTTGATATTTGCTACTTGCTACTTGCTACTCGATATCAATTTGTTGTTATTTATTACAAATTTGAGATTTAATACATGAAAAATAAACTTTTTTTTTTTTTTTTGAGATCCGTGTTGGCCCCTTTTTTTGCCGATCAATTGTCGTGAGGATAAATTGTCGGGCGGATCAATCATCCGCGGATCAGCGGTCATGTCACCACTCATTTTGTTGTAGTAATAAAATAATCTTGTTGCTGTAACAAAGTGCTGTCAATGTTTTATTTTTTAAGATCCAACATCAAGCGTTGACCGTGAATGTAAATAACTATTAAACATTCTTATAAAATTTATTTTAACAAATACATTTTTTGTTCCAACATATCAAATTTGTTGAATCACTCAAGCTGCTTTTGTTATAGGGGACAGTGAAGTTATCGTTTGACGAAGGGGTATATTTTTTTAAAATAAAAATAATTGTATAGAGATAGACAGGAGTTATAAATGTGATGAATTACCATTTTACCGACTAAATATTTTATTCATACCTCTATAAATATTTAATTAATAGCAATCTGAAAATATTTCAACGGAAAAATTCAATATCATATTTTACATGAATTATTTATTATGACAAAGTATTGTCTGAAAATTTTATATTCATCTTTGACTTTTCAATTCCTCACTCATTTTTGTTTTTTTTTTTTTTTATCTCCGACATCATTTACTAACAGTCTAAAATTATGATTCAATAAAAATGAAATTATTGTTCTTGAATTATTTATTTTAGAATGAATATTTTTATTAATTTATAGTCAGGATTACTTCATTATAATCAGTGTAAGCGTAATTTATGCTCTACATGAGAAATTTAGATTTTTTTTAACCCTCGCGTTTAATTACGATAATGTATTTATTTAGGTAGCAAATACATTTCAATTAAATTAGCTCTAACATGATTCAAATTTATGTATAGAGGATTACAAGTTTAATTTCAAGTCTGAAACTCTGACCTATTTCTCTTGCCTTGAACACGTAACATTCGCATTTCCTTACATAGAAATTTATAAATTTTAACACTGCTAAGTTTGTTTTATTTCATTATAATATCTGTAAAGCTTCAACTTCCAACCACTGAAACATTACAATTTTTAAAACGTCCAAAACTTTTTTTGTTTTGTATTCGTTTAACTGTTGAAAAATTTTAATAAAAATAAAAATGTTTACAGAATTTCAAGGTAATGATTGATGGTTATGATTAATATTTAAACATAAAGTTCAAAATTTCTGAAAAGTTAAATGATAAAATAAAACACCATTGATGGAAATAAATTTGAATTCTTTGAACCGTAAAAACCAATTTCAAAAACCTGTTTGCAGAAAAATTTAATTCGGCTTGATAACTTTTCCGCGAAAGTATAAAAAAAAGAAGTCTACTTCCAATAGTCTACAGAACTATTTCAATGTACACAAGACACATGTTCTAACAGTATTCTTTTCAATTCACACATCCCTTATTACTTCCGTATTCCCATCAATACTTTCCTATACACATTATTTTCTTTGCTTATTTCAGAGATTCCCGATCTCCGAAATGTATCTATCTATTTTCCGGCACGAGGTCACTGTTCCATAAATGTGTATACGTGTACAAAGAATTGGCCTCTATTGACTCGAATTTTTTGCATTTAAATCGCAACTTTCCTACTTTTATATTCTTTAAAAAGTAACTCACTGACATATATACATTCAACAATGATCCCTATTATTCTAATCTTTTCTTTTTCTTTTTGTCTCTGATTTTTCCATTCCACTGTTCTCCAATATACTTGGCTTAACTTTACTACTTTCTGCAACAAAAAAATTTGTAGTAGTCGCCTTTAGAAGAAACTTTAGGGGAGGGGGAGGGGCAAATGGGGTAGGGGTGGCAAAATGGGGTACCCCCAAAATTTCGTAAAAAAATTTTTTTTTTTTAAAAAGCTTTTTTAGCTTTCTAAAATATATTTTAACGTCATTTCTTACAATTTCAGAGAAAAAAATTTTTTTTTTATAAAAAAACCAAAAAAATTTTTTTTTTTCTAATTTTTTCTACATCAGTAATTTTTATCGTCATTGTGCATCATAATAATTTTTTTTTTCACATCTAAAATTTTTTTTTCTAAATTTTTAAGTTCTCACTTTACAAATAAATGATTTAAAAAAAAAATCGGGAAGTCATTGGTTCCAAGCCAGTTTTCGAAAATCAATTTCTAATCTGATCTCCACATTTTTAAGGTCCTAGGAAGTAGCTCTTAATACTCCTACGAAGATTTCTATCAGGGTGTGTGTGTGTGTGTGTGCACAGTAAAAAATTTTTCGTCAATTTGTAAAGTGTAAAAATTTTTGTGTAGCAAATTACACTTTAGTGTGTATAATTTTACATTCTCATGTGTTGATTTAACATACTAGAATGTAGAATTGTACATTAGTTTGTAGTAAAAACAGTCAGTAACACTAAATATTTGTGGTTAAGCTTGACGAAATTTTTTTACTGCATGTAAAAAAATTTTTTCCTCTGAATTGTAGGAATGACGTTAAAATATATTTAGAAAGCTTAAAAAAAAAGCTTTTGAAAAAAAAATTTTTTACGAAATTTTGGGGGTACCCCATTTTGCCACCCCTACCCCATTTTGCCCCCCCCTCCCCTATTAACAAAATTATTAGTTATTCGAACGCAAAATAATTTTTTTATTTCCATCAATCGATTTGTTCATTCAATTGAAAAATTTTTTTAAATTTACTAAAAGATTCTGTAATCATAATAAAGGTGTTTTGTTATTATAATATATGAATGACTTAATATACTTAAGGAAACTTAAGGAAATATTACTGTATCGACTTTTCAATATTACCACAGTGTTCGGTGAACAGGCCCACTCAGTGAGCAATACGTCACTGTGGGCTCCCCAAATTTACAACGCGCACCTGACAAGCCATCGTTCCCGCTATTTCTCACCCGCTTGCGCAAACCGCTTGACTGATCACGCCACATGTATCGAATTTTACCATTGGCTATCGATGTCGACATCAATAGAACGAATTTATTGATTGGCTATCGCTCTCGCTAGACATGCGCAGGAGCCTTCTTTCCCAAGTCAACGAGGAAGAAGACGAACTGTTATTATTGTCTCTCGCTTCTCCGCCATTAAGTCTAACGCTTCGCTTTCCCGCTATTTTATTTCGCTCATTGTTAACTAAACGCATTTCGCTATTTTTATAATTTAAATTGCTTAAATTAACCGCTAATATTTCGCTTCAGTTTGTTTCAGATAAATTGTGTTTATTTGCTTTTGTTTCACCGCTTTTCACAGTGCCGGCAATTTGCTCAACCACGTGCTGACCGGCTTCGCATTGATATCCACGCTGTGTTTTATAAATCCGCTTTTTTCTTATCAATCCGCTATTGAATATATTAAATATTGAGTGTATTTATAGTAAATAAATCTCTAGTGATATTCTTAATAATAATTTTTGTATTTTAATTGAGATAACCAGACCGAAACCTGATCCTTAGTTTTTCCGCTCTTTCAGCATTTTACACACAGTAACATCGTACTTTTTCTCAAAGTGTATAAGACTGTGAGTAAAGTTAAACAGTACAATTCTTTCAAAAGAATTTGTGATTTCGCATCGTATAAATTCGTATGTGTGAGCTCTCTAGTCTGGCATGCTACAATGTCTTATACCAAAAATTACAATGTTTCGATACTAATTTTAATAACAATATTCTTTCCGTGTAATAAAAGTAGTCAAAAGTAGTCTATGAACACATTAATGCTAGAAAGTACTAACCTCTAAAGACATAACAAATTTTTGTGGCATTTATATATCCATCTGTAATGTATAACCTAAATCCAGCATTGTATTATTCTTATAATAAATATAACTAAGCTATGATATGATATCTATTTTAAATAATTAAGTTTAATCTTTCCAGAAATATGAATCACAACCACCAAAAATCTTTTTACTTCAATTGCGCCTAAGATTACACACACATTTTTTTGAATTGTAAAAAAAATTTTATTTCTTTCTAAACAAAAAAATTTATCCAGATAAATTTAAAAAAATTTTAATAAATTTTAATAAATCATCTTACTTTAAGTTAAAAACTCTAAGCTCAATATACGATAAAATTTAAAATCAAAGTATTGTCCCTCTCTTAACTATCAACACCGCGCATGCGTCGCTAACATATGTTTCTCACCAGAATCCGGCAAGAGAGAACGTTCAGTTATAAAACCAAGTTAATTTTTCTTTACGAGCGTATTATTGTGATAGCTAATCATTGTTTTCTTTTTGTTACGTTAATTTTTATTAATTTTTCTA